TCCTCTAAGGATAAGACTCCTGAAGCAAATCTTCTCTGAGCATCACCACCCCTCACATTTGAGGACTTCGGAGTTCTTCCGAGCACAGCTCTGCTCTCTTGTCTCTGATCAGTCCATCTCAGACTCCTATGCAACTTCCTCTGTAGGCACACCAAATGCCAATCATGCCCAGTTTCTGTTCTTAGCACTCTATATATGCTCTGCCTGGACAATCTTATTCTTCCCATGGTTTTAACTACTATCTATGTGTTGATACCCTCTAAACCTCTATCTCCTATCCAAACCTTTTGAACTTCAGATCAATATACATAAATGCTTGGTGGGCCTCTCTACATGATGTCCCACAGGCTTTGATTCCTGGGTGTCAATTCTGATTCTTTTATTATTGTGGTAGGCAACCTTCAACATGGCCAACAATGATCCTCTCCTCCTGGAATTCATTCCCTGTGTAGTCCCATCCTACATTGTCCTAGGGTTGTCCTTTTCGACTAATAGCATACAGAAGGGGATGGTAGGCTACTTCTGAGATTGCTTTAAAAGACTGTGGCTTCTATTTTGAGCTCTGGCTCACTTGTGTGCCATCTCTCTCTCTCTCGTGGATCTCTCTAGATCTCCCTTTCTGGGTGAAGAAAGCTGCCATAATGTTGTGAGAAACTGAAGCCTCTGGCCAAGAGCCAGCAAGGAACAGAGGCCTGCCCACAACTACAGGTAAGTGAATCTAGAAGCAGGTTCTCCAGCTCCAATTGAACCTTGAGATGAGTAAAGCTCTAGCCGATAGCTTGACTGCAACCTTCTGACAACCTCTGTGCCACAACCACCCAGTTAAGCTGCTCCTCGTTCCCAACCCTCAGAAATTGTGTGAATTCATAAATGTTTCCAGGTTTAAGCTGCTAAGTTTAGGGGTGATTTGTTACATGAAATAACAAATGCAAGTACAATCGTCCCTCAGTATCCACAGGGGATTGGTCCCAGGACCCTTGCAGATACCAAAATACACAGATGCTCAAGTTCCTTAAATAAAATGGCATAGTGTCTGCATATAACCTATAGGATATCCTCCCGTATACTTTAAATCATCTCTAGATTTCTTATAATACCTACAATGTAAATGTTATGTAAATAGTTACCAGTATGAGGCATATTCAAGTTTTGCTTTTTGGAACCTTTTGGAATTTTTTTTTTTTTTTTTTTTTTTAATATTTCCCTTCTGTAGTTGGTTGAATCCTTGGATGTGGAACCCGCGCATACAGAGGGCCAACTGTATCTTCCATATCTAGGTTCTGTTGATTCTTTCTAAATATTTTTCGTTCCATTCCCTCCCCTCCATCCCTGCTGCCACTTCCTTAGTGGCTCCACCATTGGTTACCTATCACAATAGGCCACCTAACAGTTTACCTGTTCCCAGTCTGTCTTCCAATCTACTCATCACACTGCTTCAAGAGTGTCATTTTTAAAACAAAAAGTCATGTCACATACCTTCCTATCCCATACACACATAAATACTTCAAATCTTTCAATGATGACTTTTTTCATCTATGCCTCTTTGACCTGCTTGTTCCTCTGAAATCACTTAGCAAAAGTCATTCTCTCATTTTGTTTGTTCCAAATAGTGATACATGGATCATTCCAGAACCCACAGATATTTTCCATTCCCCATCCTCTGCTGTTAGAAGCACAGTCAGAAATTCCCAACCTACGAAAAAATCTGAGGGTGGCACTATGATCTGGACTCCAGTAATAATAAATGCAAATTTCAATTCTTGGGTTTCCTATCATTTTCGACTTTATTTTGGCACCTATTGAGTTAAAAGGTTTAGCAGCAATGTAATGCTTCTCTCTGTTGTATAAAGAACATACACCGAATGCCTTGGATAGCTATAAAAACTAACAATAACTAACACTTCACTGTGCCTAAGATGTGCCAGACACTATTCTGAGACCTTCTTCATATGTGTAATCCTCATAATAACCCCAGAAAATAGATATTATAATTCTCATGCTATCAATGAGATAAATGAATGGCTGAGAAGTTAAATAACATGTTGTAGGGACTTCCCTGGTGGCACAGTGGTTAAGAATCCACCTGCCAATGCTGGGAACACGGGTTCGTGCCCTGGTCCAGGAAGATCCCACATGCTGCGGAGCAACTAAGCCTGTGAGCCACGACTACTAAGCCCGTGTGCCACAACTACTGAGCCTGCATGCCTAGAGCCCGTGCTCCACAACAAGAGAAGCCAAGGCAATGAGAAGCCCGTGCACCGCAATGAAGAGTAGCCCCCACTCGACACAACTAGAGAAAGCTCCCGAGCAGCAACAAAGACCCAACTCAGCCCAAAGTAAATGAAATAAAATAATAAAATTACTAAATTTATATTTAAAAACATAACGCTGTAGTCACACAGATAGTAAGTGGTGGAGCTGGGACTTGAACCCACACAGCCTGAGGTCAGACATAGAAGCATAAGGCCAACCCTGCCTCCCACAAAACCATGTTATACTGTTTTCCATTTCATACTATATTGAACCCAACTCTCTACTACTCCTTGGACTGAAATCTTATGGATAACACTGGCTAAGAGGTGCTGTTGGACTCAGTAACAATACCAGCCCCTGAAATCACTCTGACCTTCCGACCATCTCCAATGAACTAATCTCAGATTTCCACTTTGGAAAAGATGTTAAAAATCAGCTTTTAGTACTGTGATAAATAAGATATTTCACATCATTACTGTAGTTTTGACATTAAACGCTAAATTCAAAGATAACAATAAATTCATAATATTCCAAAATTTTACTTTTGTTTAAAGGCATTATTAGCAACCCACTGCTGTATAACATTCATTTGTTTCTTTCTTTAAAAAAAAAAAAAAAAAAAAAAAACCTGAAAGTTTTCTAATGGTTTTCCTTCCTCTAGAAGGCCAACACAAACAAATTAGCGTGATGTGACTTGCATTTAGGTGCACTCTGCACAGGCTTCCCAGTGACGTTGCTAAACACCTTTCCCTATTTTCCATTTATACCTTCTTCAAGATCTGTTAAAGTGTTGTTTACTAAGGGACCCTAAACAGAGGGTATCCACTCCTGAGCTTCTGGCACATCCATATGTTCAAACTCATCCAGGTAACCAGATGGCTAAGGGAACCACTAAAGAAATGAAATACGTTCTGGGCCAACTTGTTGGCCTGGATTCTCCTAACTCCATTTTGAAAGCTGCTAAAACTTTATATGAGCACACTATAGTGGTGGTGAGAGTCATGATTCCTGTTCATCACCCAAGACTTTGGGGAAAAAATGGAGAAAAAAGTGATCTGCAGCTACTCATAAACTGTCAGGTATCACCTGTAAAATATATTGGACTGTTATACTCTTGATTCTCTGTGGAAGTCTACTCCTGAAGACAACTTCACTCTGAAATGTCATTGGCAGAAAAATTCAGTAGATTATCCTCAAAAGCAAACTGTAAAAAACCACTAATGACACTGTATGTATTAAATTGTAGAATGGTTTTCTCTTTTGTGCTTCCCTGATTGGTTGCACTGGGTCTTAGTTGCAGCAGGCCAGCTCCTTATTTGCGGCTCACAGGCTCCTTAGTTGCGGCATGCATGTGGGATCCAGTTCCCAGACCAGGGATTGAACCCAGGCCCCCCCGCACTGGGAGCATGGAGTCCCAAACGCTGCGCCACCAGAGAAGTCCCTTGTTTCTACGGAGTTGGATGTTAAAATACATAGAGCTAAACTCAGCCCTTGGTCATTTTGTTTAACTAACTTTGTGTTCACAAGATCTCATTAATCATGTTAAAAGCCCTCCAAGCACTAATTTCAGAAGAGCAAAAAAAGAAAAGCAGAGTTCATTGCTTAGTGGATATCCAATATTTATCTTCACTGAAAAATTAATTTGGCTTTAGTATCATTAAGTAGGGATATGACATCCTCAGAACCAAAGACTAACAAAAACCTCACTTTTCTTCTTTCAGGAAATTAACGGCTATAGAGAAAAGTTTCAGTGAGGTAGAATATAAGCTCACATAAGCCACCGTTGTTCAATTTCTAATTCAGATACCTGACTCCTAAAGGTGAGAGAAATATGAGAAAACAGTGTGTTTTATTCCTGGGCAAAAAAGGAGTGAGGAGATATAAAGAGAAGGGTAGCAAAGATAATTAAATCCACTGATCATTTCAAATTCTCATTTTGCAAACATTTTCTTTTTAATTTTTAAAAATTAAAAAATATATAGAGTAAACTGATATGAATTTCAAATACTTCTCCTCTGCCAATGAGCAGACTAATTAGATAAGAAACAAAATAAAATCTTAGGTAGTTATTAGACTGATAGTCCAGTTTAAAATCACTAAGGATTGACCATCAGTACACTTTGTTACTGGAAGGCATGTACCAGGGTTTGTTAGAGAGGAGACTGAGCAGCCAGTTATATAGTCCAGAAAAAGAAAAAAGTAAAGAAGGTGTGTAGAGAAAGTTAAAGTTAAATCTTTAGGTCCTCCCTAAATCTCTTATCACTGAAAAGTGACTGTGTGAAAATGTGACTGGGAAATAACAGTAAGTAGCCCCTGGGCTCACGGCAGAAGGGATGCTGGCTTTCATTTCCAATAATTCAGGGCACTGTTGAGGGACACTTTCTTCTCAGTGAGGAAAGGGGAAGTCTGTGGTGCCCAGAGCAGAGAGCTCTTTGGTTCTTCGAAACTTTGAGAAGTTCTCTATAGCAACAATTAAGAGACTTGAATTCATCTTTGGGGAAGGCCTTTCCTTTGTTATGTGAAAACCACCCTAATGGCCCTTTGGTTATAGTAACTGAAGCAAGTCTTCACCTAACCCAATGTTTTTGGGGAAAACTGCGACATCGCAATTAATCCGAAAGCAGATATTCTACAGTTAGACTGAGCAGCCAAGTGAACTGGTTTGTTAACAGTTGTGCATAGTTGAGTCCCACTGTAATTTGGCATTAAAGTTAGCATGTCTGCCTAAATGCAATAGCTCAGAGTTGTCCCAGATTCCAAATGAATATTTATTAAAATGAAAGTACATTATGGTGGTTTAAAATTAGAAAACTTTAAAATAGGATTAACAACCAGAAATCAAGATAATGGGAGCTCCCAAAGGCAGATGGAATTAATCAATTACAATTTTCCTCTTGATTCCATATTATCCATTTATGCAAAAACTTCTCCACCAAAATTCTGTGACATATTGAATGACTTAGGGCTCATAACTCCTTTTAGAGTTTTTGCCCCTTCATAAATTAAAACTTTTAAAAGATCATAGTAGGTATTTAAATACCTGTTGATTGATGCAAGATTTCATTTGCTAGGAAAGTTTAGTTCAAACTCATCTAAAAAGTTTTTGAGAAATGAATGCAGTATTCAAAGTGGATTATATCTCAACGTACACACCCTGATTTGATAGAGAGGCACTAGCTACAAGCTTCCAAGTTTCCATCCTTTAAATCAGTGAAAGAAAGGAAATCTAGGCTTTTCAGTTTAGCTTCTGCATTATCAGTAAACTCCCTAGAGGCTTTCTGTAGTGGAAGCCGGGGTGGGCCCATTGGAATCCCAGAGACAAGAGTCATGATGGCTTTGGTCTGCGACACTCCAAAACCTAGACAGGAAAATATAAATGAGGAAACATGGCTGGCACTGTCCACTTTGCCACAAACACTCGAAAGAAGAGATCATATTCTTACAGTGATTACTATAACAGGATAAAGTGGAACTAAAAGATGGGAACATTTCTTGTCAATATGGCAGACTGAGCAGATGTAGGAAATCCCTATTCCTGCTTTAAACATACAGAAATGCTGGGAACTTTTTAACAAATTGACAAACTGTAAAACAAAACAAAGTGAGACTCAAAGTCAACCTCAGAAGCAAGAAGGAGGAACGAGAAGTATCAGGAATAAAGAGGTCAGAGTAGTAAGGAGTTGCTGAAGCCGGTGGTCCATGAGGATAATCTGATTCAGGGATACACTGTTGTGGATTGAATGATGTAGGACTTGGTCACTAGGTCACAATTTAGTTCAAACAAATCTAAGAAGTACCTGAGAAATGCACTATTTAAGGTAGTTTATGACTCAATGCTGCTGTTTTAGACTAGGGCAGGAATGCAAGATGAAGCCTTGAGTCTGTACACAGCAAAGAGCTGGAATTAAACTCCCCATATAAAACTGGTAGCCAGCCTTCTATGAAAAGAAATAGAAAAAAAAACTGGCCCACTGGTCTGAGAGGCAAGGAAGCATGACTTCTGCCAGGGTGTGGAAGGAAAAAAATCATATAAATGAAATCCCAAGCCTGTGCCATATATGAATGCTGGATCCGTATTTGCATTATGTGCTTGGTACAGGAACCATACTAAGAAATATACCTAAAGACTGGTTAGAACTGATGAAACTATAGTGTCCTAGCAGAGGCAAATGTAAAATCATTTGATGGGACAACTCACAACCTAGAGTATAATGGATTCTCCAGAAAACAGCTGTCTCTGAAGATGAAATCAGAGTTAAAAATTACAAAGCACACAAGGAAAAAGAAGCTGCATGAGAGACAGCAAATGCACAACTGACAAATTTTACATCCTGAGAAAAGATGATACAAAATTCTGAAAGAGGCTTCACAGAGATAAACGTAAGAATAGAAGCTATAGGCTAAGAGAAGGGCATATAAATAAAGAACAGGAAGATCTGGAAGAAAAAGCCAAAAAGAAATGCTGGAAATTAAAAATATATAATCAGTAAAACTAAACGTAGAAAACATAGCTAAAGATAGAATTAGTGATTTTGAAGGTAGATCTAAGGAAGTAATCCAGAATATAGCACAGGAAGATATTTGTTTTCTTAACTGGCTATTGCTCTTGGATCAAAGGTATGAGAAGTAACTTTCTTTTACTAAGGTAATTTGGTTACAGTAACAATTGAGCATTGGGAAGAAAAATACTAGCTTGGCTAAATATATAGAATATACTTTGCTAAATGCAAAATGGCCCTCCTAGGCTTATTATGAATGGTGGAAGACTGAGACCTACCTTCATGATAAGGCTTTATCATGTTTATTAAGATTAAGTCTCTCTTATATACAATGGAATATTACTCAGCCATAAAAAAAAATGAAATCTTGCTGTTTGTGACAACACAGATGGACCTAGAGGGTATTATGCTAAGTGAAATAAGTCAGACAGAAAAAGACAAATACTGTATGATTTCACTTATAAGTGGAATCTAAAAAACAAAAAATGAACAAACATAATAAAACAGAAACAGGGTTATACAGTGCTGCATGTCAGTTTTATCTCAAAAAAACTGAAAGAAAAAAAAAAGTCTTTCTTTGACTAAACCATGAAAACTCCAACCCCCAAGGAAGTCTGAAATGAGCTCTTTAAAGATATGTTCTTTTAGATCATAAAAACTGTCTTCAAGAGGCCTCTTTTAAAATGCCAAAAATCTGGCAAAAGAGTAAATCCTTTCAGCTAATACCTTACAGCTATACTTTACAAAACTACTGCAGAATCACTGCTGGTATGCAAAGTGATCTTACGTGTACAGGTAAACTTTTAGTTCTTTAAAAAACTATAGAACTAGTAGTAGTTCAAAATCTACTTTAATGCATTTTAGGAACATATGCTAAACCCACGATTTTGTGAGAAGTATTGCTTAGGACAAGGGAATGATATTAGGTAATAATAGTACTGGTGATACACAAATATGACAAAAATCATCAAAGTGGAAAAGCAAATGGGAAGCATTGTCTTTGAAGGATAAAGAGTTGGCTGAAAGCCCTGTGAGAATGAGGGGCATAGTACATAACAGGTGCTTAGGGCTTGGGAGGAGTTGCCAGGAAGAGGCAGAAAGGCTCCGAAAGGAAGGTAGGAGGTCTGCCAAGAATAAACCTAAAACTTTTCCTGGACTTGACCCAGGTCCTCAGGTAGGGCCAATCTCTTGCGGAAGTGGAGTGAATTGTGGCATTTATCATTTGTTATGGGATAAGACTTAGGAGACTGTGGAGAGGTTTCTCTACTCAAATTCACTGTATTTCCCTCAAACTTTACATTGTCATATTATTCAAACCTCCATCCATTTAAGCTTACTTGTGTTAATAAACTCTTAAAATTGCAGATACTCTTGGGAGAGCTGTCAGTCATTCACAGTTTAGTAAGATCTGTATTCAAACTGCCTTCCTCTAAACACTTAGGCTTACATCAGTTATAGTGTGGTAGTAGAATTTTAATGAGCAGAGGCAAGTAAAGGGAGGGAGTGTTGATGGTGTAGGAGAGAAGGGGTTAAAAAAATGGTGTGTGAGCAGAGTGGGGAGGTGAACAAAGTGCTAAGATGGAGGAGAGAGATTTGTAGAAGGTTGCCAAGACCTTCCAACTAGGTTTACTTTACCATTTTATAGGATTGGCCCTGAAAGTTAGTATTAGGAATAAAACTTTGCTTGTAGCTGATTAAAAGGTGTTCTTGTTGAACCCTCAGAGAAAGTGATGAAAGTCCCTCATCACCTTCTCTGAAACGCTCCGAGAAAGTCTATTTCCTTTACACTCTCCAGTAGGAGACAAAGCGGGAAACTTACCTAGTTTGACCACAAAGTTGATAAATCTCTGAATACAAAACTGGAAAGGAACAAACAAATCTATAGTCAGTAATTACTAAACTGTGATAATTTAAAGAATTTAGAGGTCAAATTGCAGAAACCCCAAACTAAAAAGTCCACACACCTTAGTTTTCTGAGGGTCTTTTGGAGTGGAGAACAGCCACGTGAGGATGACTGAGATCTACCCAGGATAAGGTAGGATCTTTTCATGTATATAAGCTTTTATGGAATGAGCCCATGAAGAAAAGAAGCTCCAATGAAGGAATTGTACAACAGAGAGTTAGGATGGGGAAGGTAACCTTTACCCACCTAGGTTACAGAGGTAAACTTATCAGCTAGTGCAGTTTCCAAACTGGGGTACTCTAACCTCTAGGGTACTTTCCAAGATACCTCAGGGGCACTTGGTCAAGGCTAAGATTTATGGCAATTTCTAGACCCTCAACTTCCATAAGTGCTATTTCTAAAATTGATCAGAATAAGAAGTTGCACATAATGGAGGTGTAGCTTGTCCTTTTATATTTCCCTTTTCACAGTCCTTCTCCTACTTTTGAAAAAATAAAGACATACCTCTTATATCACTGCCTTGGGACACCTCTGGGAACCAAATAAAGGAGCAAATCAAAATGTTGGTATTGACATCCACAAAGAGAGCTGACAGAGTGATTCCTTTAATTAATGGATAACAAGTCCTCTAAAGAATCATAGGGTTTTCAAGTTTTTCCTTTCAACTTTGCTTTTAATGTTGTGATTCAGGTTGTCAGTTGAAAATCATTAAATGATCAAGCATATGACTCAAAAACTGCTCGAAGAACTGAGTGACATTGCTATACCAAAGTTTCTTCCATTCTTATCTACTAATATATAAAAACAGGGTATCACAGCACTTATTTCTATAAAAGCAAAAAACAAATAGTATTGATGCCGAACTTTAACTCATCCTAGCATTAAAGGATATTCATCCACAAATTCATGAAGCAATTCTTAAAAAGATTCCCATTCATCTCATCAAGAGATGCATTTTCAATAACATTTTACTTTTATGTTGTTTTAATCAATTGTATACTAGTAATAAAAAATTCAATGCAGAATAAAATTTTGATATCAAGCCTTACAAACATAAATGCACATGTTCTTTTTTTCCCTAACACACAAAGTATGGCACATTACATTCAGAAGTCTCTACTTTGTTGCTTTTTTTACACTTAATGTATCAGGGAGATCTCTCCAGATGTGTGCATATAAAAGTATCTCATCCTTCTAAAGGGCTGTATGTAGTTCCATTAAATAACTCAAACATAATGTATTTAACCATTTCCTTATGGGTGGATATTTGGGCTGTTTCTATCTTTTGCTAGTATAAAAAATGCTATAAGGAATATCTCTGTACATGTGTCATTTCACTTTGTAAATATAACAGATGGCATTTAAGTCCGTGAGAATGATGGACTTCCCTGGTGGCAGAGTGGTTAAGAATCTGCCTGTCACTGAAGGGGACACAGGTTCGAGCCCTGGTCCGGGAAGATCCCACATGCCGCGGAGCAACTAAGCCCGTGCACCACAACTACTGAGCCCGTGCGCCACAACTACTGAAGCCCACGTGCCTAGAGCCCGTGCTCTGCAACAAGAGAAGCCACTGCAGTGAGAAGCCCGCGCACTGCAATGAAGAGTAGCTCCCGCTCGCCGCCACAACGAAGACCAACACAGCCAAAAATAAAGTCCATGAGAATGAGTAAGTTTAGCCCTAACTTTTTATTTATCTGTTTCTTCACTTGACTGCGAACTCCTTTAGGGCAGAGACCAGTTTTATTGAAATTATATATTCAGTTCAGCCCATGGTATATTAATAAGTGAGTAAATGAGACCTGCTCACACTTGCTTTCTGTAAGAAAAAACAGAATGTGGTAAACTAAACTGCTTACCAATACTGTTTTGGGTGAGATGATTTATTTGAGTAGGCTAAAAGAAAAAAAAGAAAAAGAGATGGAAATTGAATCAGCCAATAAAAGAAACCACTAAGTGGAAAGGTTCCGTATCAGAGCTGTTTCACAGTTTACTCCATCCTACGATTTTCACATCATTCAGCTCAGAACAGGTTGAAATTTTCAGAAATAATTTTTTCTGGGAAACTTAGGAAAAGGAAAATCGTATATGAAAAGAGATGGCAGGGACTTCCCTGGTGGCGCAGTGGTTAATAATCCACCTGCCAATGCAGGGGACACGGACTCAAGCCCTGGTCCGGGAAGATCCCACGTGCCACAGAGCAACGAAGTCCGTGCACCACAACTACCGAGCCTGCGCTCTAGAGCCCGCGAGCCGCAACTACTGAACCCGTATGGCACAGCTACTGAAGCCCGCGTGCCTAGAGCCCGTGCTCCGCAACAAGAGAAGCCACCGCGATGAGAAGCCCGCGCACCGCAAAAAAGAGTAGCCCCCGCTTGTCACAACTAGAGAAAGCCTGCGCACAGCAACGAAAACCCAAGGCAGCCAAAGATAAATAAATTAATTAATTAAAAAAAAAGAAAAGAGATGGCAGAGTCCACACAATTCAGACTTCATATCTTAATTTAAACCAAAGTCTTGCCAATGTTTAATCTAGTTGACATAGCTTCCTAAGTCCTTACGCTGTTCCTGCTTTCAGCTTCACCTGGTCTGGGGCTGAATAAAGGTGAATATTAAATAAGCTATTTAAACTTTAAGTTAAGTAGGAAGTAGATTTAGGCTTGCTCAGTGTTCAGGGTTAAAGGGTAGGGATGTATTTAATCACTGCTTGCAACTGCTTACTCCTGTTCTCTTCTTGGTTGGAGCTCAGGTCACTCCCTCAAACCTCCAGGATGCTTTGCAACTTCTGCTCTGTAATTTCTGATTGCCCTGATGGTGGCCTGTCCTGTTCAAAAGATCCCTTATCTAAACTTACTGGGACTGACCACCTGCTCTGATCTTGCTTATGCCTTTCATTCTCACTCATTTTCTTGGGACACTCCTCTCAGTCACTTTTATGATCCTGAAAGTTCCTGGGCCTCTCGGCCTCCAGAAGTTTCTCTGTAGTGCCTACCCTATTTCTTTCCACCTTATTCTGTTTACCTAACATATACACACTACCAGCTGTGGGGCTGGTTCTACCCTTCGGTGAGGCTCTTCCTTCTCTGGACAGCTAGGCTGTCCTCCCTGTAACATTAACAGCAAGCCACCATTTTCCCCAGGGGTCTTCCCTGGAACACTTCAGATCCTGCCGCTTTTCTCTTCCTGTTTCAAAGCCAGTGTCTCCTTTTGGATCACCTATTCAGCTCTTGTTTCCTGCCTGGTGAATGTTTTCAGTTCTCAGCACATTTCCAGGGCAAAGAGGACTGACCTGCTCTGACTTTGGATTAAGTCTCCCCTTTGTAGATCACCAGCCTCATAGCTTCCTTATATACTCTGGTGACTCAGGTGTGAAGTTCTCAAGGGGATGGCATGTGGTCATTTCCCCAAAAATCTATCACCATTATTTCACAGTCATAAAAATACTTTGAATGTAGACTAAAAATAAGATCATTTCTAGGAGGAACAGAAAAGAGTCATTCCTGTGTGGGGCCTGTCCTGATGAGACATGCAGGAAACATGGATAATGGGCACAGGTTTGGTTTTAAACAAGAAAAAGAAGGAAAATACAGAAAGAAGCAGCTAGGCAATCTTAAGGAGGGCAGGTGTGGTAGGAATGCTGATGAGAGAAAATAAGAATTCTCAAGTGGGAAAGAAAAAAGGCTATGATTTATATGAAGGGAAAAGAAAGCTTACCTGATGGTTCAGGGCCGAGGAGAAGTCCTTCCGTTCAAAAGCCTCCAACATCTGGTTTGTCTTTTTTCCCAGGTAGTTATAGGTACTGGAGAGAAAACAGCACATCTGCAGGATCAATAACTTAGAGAGAAGGTCCAGCTCCTCAAACCCCTCTAATGCTCAAAAGGGAAAAATCTACCAAGCCTTCCAGACGTCTGTTTTTAGGCCCTAATCTATTAAAGGATCAGGTGTCTTCAGTTCTGAGTTTTCCAGCAACACTAAGCAGTGCAGAGGACGCAGAGAACACCAAAAGGAATAAAGAAAAGGGAGAAAAATAGGAAAAGGGTCAAGTTAGAAAAAAGAAAAAGAGTGAAAGACAGAGGTGTATTTGGCAAGGAGTGATTGAGGGCAACACCTGGCCCAGGGCGCACACAGAGGTCCAATGCTAGGTTAAGAACTGTGGATAAAATGTAGTATCTGAGGGCTTCCCTGGTGGCGCAGTGGTTGAGAGTCTGCCTGCCAATGCAGAGGACACGGGTTCGAGCCCTGGTCTGGGAAGATCCCACATGCCGCGGAGCAGCTAGACCCGTGAGCCACAACTGCTGAGCCTGCGCGTCTGGAGCTTGTGCTCCGCAACAAGAGAGGCCGCGATAGTGAGAGGCCCGCACACCGCGATGAAGAGTGGCTCCCGCTCGCCGCAACTAGAGAAAGCCCTCGCACAGCAACGAAGACCCAACACAGCCAAAAATAAATTAAAAAAAAAAAAAAAAAAAAGTAGTATCTGAGGTGGGTCCCAAAAACCCTATGCTGAGGAACTGGGTGAATGTAGCACCACAGTAAAAGGGGCAAATACTAGCAGATTACCTAAATTCTTTGCCAAGTTATATGTTACCCAGAGACTAGTTTCTAGTAATAATATTAATACGGATAATAATAATACAAGGACCATTTATTGACTATTGTATTCCGGGTGCCTGACATAAACCATGTCTAATCCTCTCAGAGCCCTGTGAGGTAGGTGTGGTTTCCATTTTGCTGTGAAGAAACTATGTCTCAAAGAAGGGCAACAGAGTTGTCGAGAAGCTTACCGTCCCTTCATACTGCTTATTCTATTACATTTCAGAAAAAATGGAGATGAGAATGTTATTTGATATCGTAAAATGTTCTTGCTGACTTAAAAAAGAATCTCTAACTCTACCAATAGAGACAAATATCTTAGACTAATCACTGAGTTCTTAGAGAAACCAGCAAGGCAGAAGGTTCTAGAAATTCAGAACAAAGATGTTTCCCCAGTTTCTAATGACTTCTCCTACAGTTACTCAGGATCAGAAAAGAGTTTCAACTTGGTGTACCAGGAACAGAATATTGTTGGTACTTCATAAATGTAGTCCCTGGAGTCAATACAAGGCATTCTGAGAACGTGAAGTTCACATTATCTTCTCGTAAAAAAGTAGGGAAGAATAAAGTATAATCATTGAGATAAGTTACCTGCAGATGTGAAACATCCAAAGTCGCAATATGTGCATGAATGTCTAAGGGGTTTCAGAATACTCTAATTTGAATCCCAGGGGTCTCAGATGTATCCTCATTTAGAGAGGAATGTGATCATAATTAAGGAGAAATTAAGTGTAATCAAATGTACTTTGCTTTCAGATTCTGTTGACAGAATAAAAATGCCTAGTATGGGGGCCAGAAAAAAAAAAAAAAAAGAATTTCCAAGGTCAGCAGATCCAGGCATTCAGGGTTCCTTGGAGGAAATGGCCTGTAGTGATGATGGATGTTGTAGGCATCCTGGCTCAGTGAACGAACCATTATTTACCATTACATCCAACCCAACTACTCTTCATCAAAGCCATGCTCACCAAGATATGCTATGAGTATTACTTTGCTTCCCCTGTACTTTTCCCACAGGGAGGAAATACACTTTCAGTTAATGTAAATAGTTCAGTCATTCTGCTTGCAGGCACATTGCTACTGAACTAGGTTAACATGTGCAGTAGACATGCCAAATTGAACGTCCCTAGGCCTTCTGCTGAGTAGACATCAGGCCACACGATTCTACCTTCCTAGCTGCAGCTGACCGGACCTTACATGGACACCTGACATGGCAGTGCTATCCAGTGATATCCTGAGATGCCCCATTTGGGTCCCATGACTGGCCACATGCATGCTGAAGCAGAGAAAGCCCATCTGGAGAGAAAGGCAAATAAAGGGATGTCCAAAGGACCACAGGTGGAGAACGGTCTGCCTTGGCTGTTGAGAGCTTTGCAGTTTTAGGCTCTCATCTTCTCTGAGACCTCACTGCACTTCCTCCCCTTGAGTTTTATGAAATTTTATAATAACTTACCTTCTTTCACATAAGCTAGTTTGAATGGCATTCTGTTATTTGTAACCAAATAATTTCTGATAAAGAAGTTCTGTGCATGCTCTCAGCTTCTGTGCCTCACCCCTAACTGCAACAGATGCTTCTTGTAAGAGTGACTGAGTCGCTAACAAAGTGCTAAGCCCTAGTTCATTCCTTTTCACTAAGAGAATGTGGCAAAGAAAGGCAATTTCTATTAGAAAAGGTGTACTTGCAAGAAATACAACTGCGCAGGTGATGACTGCTTCTGTGGGGGATTTTACACTAATAAGCATTGGGAAAAATGAGTCCTGCTTACCTGCCCACTGCTCCAGTTGCTCCCATCACCAGAGCACTCAACAGTTGCTGATCAGAAACAGACAGAGAGTATTAACTTTGATGAAAAAGAGAAGAGAAAAGATGCTACTATATAAGCGGCTACATCAATTGTTGCAGAGGGAAACTAACCTGCTGGGATATGCCAGGGGGAAACTTACCTCATCCACCCCAAAAAGGAAAGCAAACTGTTGCTGGCGATTCTGATCAACACATTGCCCGAAGTCTAAGAGATCTGTGTCACTGAATTTCAGCCCTTGGAAGGTGGGGATCTTATCCTGAATTCCATCCAACAACTCCTCAGCACGAACTGTTCAAAACAATAAATGTCTCATTCACCGGTACACCCCCAGAAAATAACAGAGAACATCTCATCTAGCGCCACACATCTGCACTGAGCTGCCAGGGGCTGCTCTCAGCTGCAACTGGCTGCAGATTGAACATATTGAACATGATCACTTGCCCTTGCCTCCTAGTTCCTCTGTACGTATCAAATTGTAACCCTAAATCTTCTGTCCCTTGAAGACAATAGATGGATATTTATAAAGCACAACTTCTATTTTTTCTTCTAAGGAACTTAGAAAGGAATGGCATTTTAAAAATAACCTCCTAATAAATTTCATCTAACTGTAACAATCTTCTTGCTGGAGAAGTATGATAATGATAAAAGAAAACCTAAAAGAAAAGTGAGAAGAGATCGGAGTACCTTCCTGTGTGCCAAGTGCTGAGAACACAGTAGGGTACAAAGTAGACCCAATCCCTGTCTTAGTGGGGCTTACAGGCTATGTCTTCCACATAAGACGGAGGGGTGTGTGTGACAGACACAAGTTGTCTGCTACAAGTACATAGGGGTCAATTCGTCTTTCATACTTAAAAATCTTCCATTATAAGGTGGTGTCAATGATTGATAAGGGCTGACTTATTTTTGATAAGAGTGACTTCTTTTGGAGCTGTTGGAACCATCTAGTCAACAGTCTTATGCTTTCGTGATACAGGGTGAGGTGGGGTGGAGTCGGGGTTTCTTAGTGAAATAGGGTACGATGTGAGAGGTGAAGGTGAAGAAACATGAAAAGAAGCAGTACTTACTCTTTACCCCTGTCAAGGCAGGAATGTGATAGTAGTAAAACGGCAGTGCAGGGGCAGCAGCGGCCACCTCCTTTAGGAAGTTAATCAGGACATCTGAAAAAACAGCAGGAAAAGTCATGGTGTGAACAAGTGTAAAACACTGGCTTTCCCCAGTAAAAATGGAACCTTGGGACTTCCCTGGCGGTCCAGTGGTTAAGACTCCACGCTTCCAATGTAGGGGGCATGGGTTTGATCCCTGGCTGGGGAACTAAGATCCCACAGGCCGCGCAGCCAAAAAAAAAAAAAGAACCGTCTAATGAAATGCAACCATCCTTTTTGGAAGCCAAAAATTCTTGACCACTGAGACTGCTACTGCAATGTCTTTGCAATTCACTTTATTCAAAGTTTTATTTTCCTCTCTGTAGAAAGGCCAAAATAAGAGGATCAGTTTCCTACCATACTAAAGAGCTATTAAAAAACTGGTGCAGGGCTTCCCTGGTGGCGCAGTGGTTGAGAGTCCGCCTGCCGATGCAGGGGACACGGGTTCGTGCCCTGGTCCGGGAAGATCCCACATGCCGCGGAACGGCTGGGGCCGTGAGCCATGGCCGCTGAGCCTGCGCATCCGGAGCCTGTGCTCCGCAACAGGAGAGGCCACAACAGTGAGAGGCCCGCGTACCGCAAAAAAAAAAAAACAAAAAAACAAAAAAAACTGGTGCAAATCTTCCCACATATTAAGAGAAGCTCATGAAATACTCTTACAAAAATCAGAAGCCCATCAGGCAGGATCCTTTTCCTCTTACTCAGAAGGGTAAGTGTGGTCAGTGAACAGCAAAGACTTTGCATTAGGATCAGAATAAAGTTGTAACAGTAAATTCTACAACAAAAAGATAAACAACATCTGCTCAAAATGGGAAGTCATAAAACTAGTGGCACATCTCAACCAGCGTTTGGTACCTTTCCCTTTTGGAGAGAAATTCAGATATATCAGAAGACAGTTCACTCTGGTTTACTGAGGAAATGGGATTTTCTACATCATCCAATTTGAGCTTCAGCAGCAACATTACTACAGATGATAAATAAATCCAGCAGAATTGCTTACATCTGGATGCCACTGAATAGTGGGAGAGAAGCTTATGAACACATTTGAATACTGTGATAATAAATATTTTGACAAAATTATTGTGTATTGTTATTTTTCATTTGTCTTATGCAAAATTTTTAAAAACCATCTGAAAAAGCTTTAAAAATGTTCATTCTAAATTTCCCAAATAGCAGTATTTAAATTACTTACCAATATTAACGACTATTTTACTGATAACAGATAATATTTCATGACAATTTTGACCTGTTATACATTTAGCTATGGATTTGTTTAATCATGCATGCGAATGACATTTTGTCTGTTTTTAATCCTTTTAAAATTTGTACTGCATTTTTGCTAATCAAAAGGATTAAAAAGACTCAGTATACCTGGAAACCACAAATAGTTTCCATAGAGAAAACAATAATTTGATATTTTGGAAGACAATGGATATTTCTGTGAAATCTCTTTCCAAATTCATCACTTAACTCAAATTTGAATAGTACATGTAGTCTCAAAATGTCCATTACTTATATTCCTCTTTTGCTGAGAAAAACGGTCTCATGCTTTGCCATGTGACTCTGACACTCTATGCAACTGATTGGCCAAAAGTGGACACCTGACCCAAACACAGGCACCTGTAGGTTGACCCAGGGCTTGGTGGATGAGCTACTCAGATTACTTGACAAAAGAGCTGAAGTCCTTTAATGGAGTCTTTTCTTCTCTTTTATGGGTCCAGGGAGGCTGAATATTCCGGAGAACTACTGTACCATTGCAACTTCATGCCTCCAGTCCATAAGACTTTACTTTCATGAGTTAAATACAACCATTTGGAATGAAGGCATAAAGAAGCGGACCATGTACAGCACTGTGCGTTTTGACCTATCTACCCACCTTTGTTCCATGGCTTGAGAAAGAAAGGTGCAATGACAGCGATGCCATCGGCTCCTATTTTTGCTGCATGTTGGGCCTTTAAAAGAAGAAAGAAGACCATTGGTCACAATTCTGATGTGTGTGAATGTGGGGTTTTCTCCACCTCAAAAGGCAATTCTCAAACACCAGCTGGGTTTCCTACAATTCAACTCAACTCTGACACTATCTATCTGGAGATACAGGTCAAGGGCTCAGTCCTACAAGACTAGCTCCCTACCCCCATTTCAAATGCCAGGTTATCACCTGTGCTTCTGACCTATGGGCTATAAATTAGAGGTTCCAACAACCCCCTCCTTCGGTCAATTAATTTGTTGGGAAGGCTCACAGAACTCAGGGAAACATTTTACTTACGAGATCACTGGCTTTTTATAAAAGGATATGACTCAGGAACAGCCAGATAGAAGAGATGCATAGGGCAAGGCATGGGGAAAGGGCACAACACTTCCATGTCTTCTCTCAGTGCGAGTGCACCACCCTCCCCAAATCTCCACAAGTTCACAAAACTGGAAGCTCTTTGAAATCTGTCCTTTGGTGTTTTCATGGAGGCTTTACTACATAGGCATGATTGATTATATCATTGGCCATTGGGGATTGGTTCAAATAGGGTCGATCATATCAACTCTAACTGAAAGTTCCAACCCCTAATTTTCATGCCTGGTACTCTTGGCGACCAGCCCCCATCCTTAGGTACTTTCTAAAAGTCACCTCATTAACATAACAAGAGACACCTTTATTGTTCTTATCTCCAGGAATTCGAGGGTTTTGGAGCTCTGTGCCAGAAATGGGACAAAGACCAAATATCTGTTTCTTGTTATAGATCACAATTTCACAACCATCCTGGAGTAAACGATTTGTTACATTCACCTACAGCTTAGATACTAGAGGCTAACAACAAACTCTTCAAATTTGCCAACCGATGTACCACTAGAGAGTGGAAAATTACCACATTTAATGATAAATGTCATTACCAGGAAAATCCCAGGTGTTGCAAAGTAGAGACCTCTGGTGGAGGTGAGCTGTGTATTTAATCTTATTCTTCTGCAGACTTTGTCAGTACAAAAAAAACTTGCTAAGGAGACATGAGCAGTTCTTTTTTTTTTTTTCGGTACGAGGACCTCTCACTGTTGTGGCCTCTCCCGTTGCGGAGCACAGGCTCTGGACGTGCAGGCTCAGTGGCCATGGCTCACGGGCCCAGCCACTCCGCGGCATGTGGGATCTTCCCGGACCGAGGCATGAACCTGCGTCCCCTGCATCGGCAGGCGGACTCTCAACCACTGCGCCACCAGGGAAGCCCGAGCAGTTCATTTTGATAAACTATAACTGTTAATTATAGAGAAACTTGCACATGTCATTTCTCTTCTAGTGTTCAGCCCACTGGATGATACTGTCTTTCCTCTCCAAAGATATTAGTCATATTTTAAAATTTATATTACAGATTGGAAATGCAGTTGAGAAAGGCTGAGAAGAAAAAGATTATACATATCACAGAAGACACATTGCACTACTCTTCTGATATTTACTCACATTCCTTCAGGAAAAAATGAACATTTCCTCCCACTGGGCCCTCATAATATTTTTTATCTATTTCAAGCAGAGTACTTAAACCTAACACATTGTGAGGTAGTTGTGTATCTTACTGGTCTCCAAGTAGAGTGAAGTCCCTGAGGGCAGAGATCAGATCTTATTGACTCTTGTGTTCAGGTCAGTCATGGTGCTGAGCACATAGCAGGACTCAGTAGATGTTGTTGATTGCTTTGAAACATGCCCCACTGCCTAAAAGGGAAAAACGGCTTTCCTCTGAGACTTAAGCTAGTGATATCTATGTCTAATAGATGTGATTAAGTTTCTGCAGAAGTAAAGTAGGAGAGTCAAAAAGAGATTGGGATATAGTCCAAAGAACAGTCAAGACACTGGATAGGATTTTATTGACACAGGATTGGAAGTGATATATTTGAATCATTTATTTAGCACCTTGTTTAGGACAAGAGCAGTAGGGTAACCTTAGCTGAAAGGAAGGAAAAGAAACCACTTCAGAGATAGTCGATGGCAGTGCCCATTCAAGCATCATCCAATGGAGAGTTATGTCTAAGCAGATGCCAATATTACTGTCTCCTTGGCAAGATTATCCCACAGCAGGGGATTATCCCTATAGCAGGGGATTATCTCTATACTAAGATTATCTTTATACTATTCTGGTGTTGAACCCCATGGTTGACACTGTCTGTCATGTCATACATGACAATATTTTAAAACTCACATGACACATAGAAGAAAGCAATTGAAAAGAGAAGGGAAAAAAAAAATTTCCTCCATTACACTACCATAGTTGAAAGATCTACTGTTAAGAAGAACAAATCAAGTGTAAAAAGGATAAATCAAGTTTCCAAGTTCTGATTCTAGGCTTACTAAGCAATCACCTAGTAACGTCTTCCCTAGTGGCTTGCCTAAGAGTGTTGAATTGTGGTTTTGCAAGTATACAGTATACATTCCATTTCTAAATTCAATTAATAGGAAACAGAATCAAACAAAACCCACAAGAAGATGTTGGGGTTAGATCAAGTCATTGCGCTCTTTGGAATCAGAATATCTAAATTCTGAGGACATGGTTATGTGGACAAAGAATGTCCCTGCCATTTCAGTAAACAGAGGATGCTTCCACCAAACAGCCATCAGCCACTGCAGGCACCAGGTCGGTGCGACCTAAGGGGAACTCAGGATGGAGAAAAACATGCATATCAAAGGAATGGTTTCAATAAGCCCAATCTCTTGCACCTTACCATACAAGAAAACACTAAAATCATTAACTTGAGATGCGTGTTTTTATGATTAGCAATAATCTTTTGATGTTCAACTATATATATATATTTTTTCCAGCCAAAAACTCCTATACATCCAGGCTCCTCCCTTACCTCTTTGGAACAGTCCCTCAGAGCTTGCTGAGTGGCTGTATCCCAGGCTTAAGTCCTCAGTAAGTCTGCTGAATAAAACGTAATTCTCAACTTTTAGGTTGTACATTTTTTTTCAGTCGACAGTCCAAGCTACAACATCTTTGTACTTTCTTTTCTTACTTGATTCACAAAGACCTCAAAACTACCACATGGTTTACTTTTCTGCTAGCAACTTTAACTCCTTCCTCCCTCGCCACAATATTACTCCACCTAAACTGCTCATCTCTAAACCCAGAGCAATCCAGTCTTTGCATTCTTGTTCCTATGTTCTGGTTGAAGAGTGTACCTAGAAGAAAATCTCCACACCTGTGTGGAGTGGTGGTATGACAAATTTATGACTTACAACTTTGGTTGGTTTTTAGCACCACTGGGGCAATCCTTTTTAAAAAATTAATTACTTTAAAATTTATTTTTCAAAACTGTGACCAAGAAAAATACAACACTGGGAGTTCCCTGGTGGCCTAGTGGTTAGGATTCCGGGCTTTCACTGCCGTGGCCTGGGTTCAGTCCCTGGTCGGGGAACTGAGATCCCGCAAGCCACGCGGTGCAGCCAAAAAATAAAAATTTAAAAAAATTCACCATCTTAGCCATTTTTAAGTGTACAGTTCACTGCTGTTAAGTATATTCACATTGTTGTGAAATAGAACTCTAGAACTTTTTCATCTTGCAGATCTGAAAGTTTTGGAAGGAGCTGTCAGCAGGAACTCCATTTTATACTTTAGGGCTCCATCCTGTTAAACTGTGACTGTGCTGACCCTGCTGACTTAAAAAAAAAAAAAAAAAAAGAAGCAGCAGCTCTCTGTTGAGAAAGGCATCCTGCGGAACTGTGCAGAAGTGTGCCTTTACTGATAACAAGCGAAACACACTTGACGAGTCAATAAATTGTAACAGGAAAAAAAAAAAAGAATACATACCTTCCAGTCACAACTCTTCACAAAAAACTTTTGGAAACTAAGTGTGCTTCTCTGTTTTCCTTTAAAAACTCCTGCCTTTTGTTTCCCAGAGGGGACACTGTTCTGTGGTTGCTGGAATCTGTGCTCCCTGAATTGTAATTCTAAGACTCCAAATAACCATAAATTTGTTTTCTATGTCTGTGAGTCTGTTTCTGCTTTGTAAATAAGTTCATTTGTATCATATTTTAGATTCCACATATAAGTGATATCATATGGTATTTGTCTTTCTCTGCCTGACTTACTTGACTAAGTATGATATTCTCTAGGTCCATCCATGCTGAATTAACAGATACACACTACTTTATATATATAAAATAAACAACAAAGACTTACCATATAGCACAGAGAACTATATTCAATATCTTGTAATAACCTATAATGGAAAAGAATCTGAAAACGCATATATATATATATATATATATATATATATATATCTGATCCTGCAAAACAGAAAACACTGTTGCATCATTTGAAGTTTATAGTAACACTAAGGGCTGCACTATTGTGGTTTATGCTGGTTTTAATAGTTAGCTAATATCTAATCTCAATCTCGGCGACTTCCCTGTAGGTGCAGTGGTTTAGAATCCTCCTGCCAATGCAGGGGACACGGGTTTGATCCCTTGTCTGGGAAGATGCCACACGCCGTGGAGCAGCTAAGCCCATGCACCACAACTCCTGAGCCTGCGCTCTAGAGTCCACAAGTACAACTACTGAAGCCCGCGCGCCTAGAGCCCATGCTCCGCAACAAGAGAAGCCACCGCAATAAGAAGCCCGCACACCACAACGAAGAGTAGCCCCCACTTGCCACAACTAGAGAAAAGCCCACGAAGCAACGAAGTCCCAACACAGCCAAAAAAAAAAAAAATCTCAATCTCAAGACTACTAAATTCTACAGTGGTCTACTAAAAATTAATCTAATCAGGGATTTAAAAAAATGTCCAGGGGGCTTCACTGGTGGTGCAGTGGTTGAGAGTCCGCCTGCCGATGCAGGAAACGCGGGTTCGTGCCCCCGCAGAGCGGCTGGGCCCATGAGCCATGGCCGCTGAGCCTGCGCGTCCGGAGCCTGTGCTGCACAACGGGAGAGGCCACAGCAGTGAGAGGCCCGCGTACCGCAAAAAAAAAAAAAAAAAAATGTCCAGGGAATAAAATTTAAGGTTCAACCAAGCAACAGAATTTTGAAGGCAATAACTGCTTAATCTATATATCTATATATCTGTATCTATATATATAAATATAAAACTGAATCACTGCTGTACACCAGAAACTAACACAACACTGTACATCAACTATATGTCAACTTTTAAAAAAGGACCCCTAATAAATGCTTTTCTTTGTTTTACAGCCTGCTTCTTTTTCGCAGACGACAAACTCTATACCCCTTAAACAACTCTTCTTTCCCCCGCCCCCTAGTCCCTAGCGGGACTAACTCTAATTCTGTTTTTATGAATTTGACTACTTTAGATACCTCATAGTATAAGAAGAAGAATATAGTATTTGTCTTTTAGTGGCTGGCTTACTTCACTTAACATAATGTCCTCAAGGAGGTTCACCCCTATTGTAGCATGTGACAAGATGGATCTGCTTCCTTTTTAAGGCTGAAAAACATTCCATTGTATGTATATACCACCTTTGCTTTATCCATTCATCTGTCCATGGGCACTTGGGTTGCTTCGACCTCATGAACAGTGCTGCTATAAACATGGGTGGGGACAATCTTTTTCTGTTTAAGTTTTCTCTTCCATTCTCCGGGCAGCAATTCTCAGTTTTTACCACTTCTCATTTCTGAACCCCATTTCCATCTCCTTTATGCCCAGCAGATGGCCTTGCCTTTTACTTCCTAGAGAAAACTTAGGTTGGCTCAAGTTCTGTTCCTTACCTGCAAACTAGGTAGCTCCATAGCCATCCTTACTTCGCCCAAAAGAAGAGGTGCCTCTGTCTCCTATTAAACGCTCTGCTACAGCAGTTATCACCTTGGGCTACTCTCTTTATGGCTCTGTGTTGGCTTCCCTGCAGTCCTACACCTTACACTCTCCAGCATCCAATATTTAGCAAAAATGATATTGATTTTAACTCAAGCATAAAGATGGAGGCCCCTAAAGTGGTCTCTCCCAGATGGACCCACATACATACCAGTTCTTGTGACTCCTTCAAGCTCAGTGCTCCCACGTGAATTACTATCTGATCCAACCTGCAAAACAGAAAACACTGTTGCATCACTTGAAGTTTATAGTAACACGGAAGAGCTGTGCTACCTTGGTTTGTGCTGGTTTTAGTAATTAGCTAGTATCTGACTAATCTCAGTCTCAAGACTACTGAATTCTACAGTGGTCTACTTAAAATTAATCTAACCAGGGATTTTTAAAAAATGTCCAGGGAATAAAATTTAAGGTTCAACTAAGCAGTAAGATTTTCTTTTAGCATCTTTATTGGAGTATAATTGCTTTACAATGTTGTGTTAGTTTCTGCTGTATATAAGCAACAGGATTTCGAAAGCAATAACTGATTAATCAATCAATAGTCAAGTACCTTATTTTGACTATGCATGGTTAGAGATGCTGCATTTGATGGTGACAATGTGCATGAAAATAGGTGTAAAGCTGAGATATTTTTGGTTGGAGATAAAAATAAAGAGGTTCCTCAAAGAGTACAACCAGGAACCAGCCATACGAGAAAGGAATTCACTGTGAAAAGTTTTTTCCTATCTTGTGTATCCTCAGAATTTGGCCATGAGTGAGGTTTTCTCTGAGACCTCAGTGTTCATCTTTGGAGGTGCTCCACGGGGCCCTGTGGGAAGAGGCCACACTTAGACTGGTCTTCTGAGGGTAGGATCAATAAAACTCAGCTGTGAATGCAGTCATGCTGGTGAGTCTTCCAGGGACTCAGAGTGACACACGTGCTGCCCTCATGGGATGGAGACACCACATCCCCGTTAAGGCCCAAGCATTGAGTCCTCCTGTGATTCTTGACTTGTTCTGTCTTTGGTAAAATGGGACCTAGCCGGGAAGTGCTAGGATCAGGTCTGCATTTGTTAAGGATAACAGAAGACTTCTGAGAGGAGAAAAGGTGGCTGGCTGGTCTGCTTTCCCCTCACCAGCAGCTTTATTGCATGACCTCCTTAAACCTTTCACTACCCCTGTCTCCTGGCTTAGGTTAAAACAATCATGCATTCCCTCCCCCTCTCCACCCAGCTGCTGGGTCTGTGGCTTTAGTACAAACTTGTGATTTCCCAATTCAGGAGGACGAGGGTCCCGAAAGCCTCTGGTCCCCATGACTTACTTCCCTTTCCTAGTCACTGCAGCGGCTGCTCCAAATCTTGACTTTTCTCCTCAAGCTCTAAATTCCACCCAAGCCCTTGTTATTGGCAGATGTCCTCGCTTCCAAGACACCATCTTAGATAAAGATTCTTCCACACACAGACTCCCTCCCTTCTCCTCCTCACCTCTGTGCTTAGCTGTGTTACCTTCTATCTATGCGTTCCTCCCAGCTTCTTAGCTGCCTCCTAAAGCTACTCTGCTTACATTTGGGTTTATTTCAAGCCCCCGTGGAGACCTGCCATCAAAGGCATCAGTTCTCCACTCTCTTTAATCTCTTCTCCAATGGCACTGTCCTTTCAGCGCGGAAACGTGCTCATTACTTCCCTGCTTTAAGAGAAAAAAAACTACTCTTCTTTTAATCTTGCTTCCTCCGCTCTAATCCATGATTCCTTCTCTCCTTCTCCTCAGCAGCAAATTTTTTGGGGTGAGAATAAGCTACCCTCACTGGTTCCCCTGCCATGTGTCTGCGGCATGCTAACCTCAGGGCAGCTGCTTCCGTGACAATGACCCAACTGGCTCTGCTCTCTCTCAGGTTAGCTGGTCATTTCCTACTTTCTCAATCCTACTGACTCTCACAGCAACTAATAATGATTATAACAAACGTTACAATGAACACAGCACCCACTGCAAACAGTTACAGTGAACTCTTATATATTACTTAGTACTATACGTGTGGCACTGCTTGAATCCTCACCAGCGCCTCACAGGATAGGTACTATTAGTATTCCTGTTTCACAGACAAAGCACAGGGCATTTAAGAGCTGCCTGAGTTCACAGAGCTACTTAGAGGCAGACTCAGGACCCAACTCAGGCAGTCTGGCTCTGCAGGCCCTGCTCTTAATCTCCATGCTCCCCCGACGCTCTCTGAAGCACCCTTCCTTCCTTCCAGCAGACAGGATCTGCTCTTCACCTCCCTCTGACCCTTCTGAGGGTTTTCTGTCTGCGCCCACTTCCCTATCCCTCCCGGTTCTGGTGCTTTTCTTGATGTTTACCCTTAGCCTTCTTCTTTCCTCACTCTGCCTGTGGTCTTTAGACTTTTGAGGCCCAGGATCTGACTGAAAATTAGCTGAAAACTGAAGATCACTAGAAAGTGCCTACGTGGACACGCATTCACATTTGGCGTATAATTTCAGAGTATCCAAGTTGCTCTAAAGCCAATTAAGGGTCCCCAAAGTGGGCAGGGGCTTTGCACTGACAACCTCTGCTCCAGGCTCACTTGAGACTTACCTCCAATCTTTGCCTCCACCTAAGACACCGTCAATCACCCTTCTCTGATCCCTGTTTACACTATTTATCGGAAGGATCAGTGTTAGTTTTCATGGTCTGACATCTCCATTGGATGGTAAGCAACCTGAGGGCAGAGATCCCGTTTTATGTCTCCAGTGCCAGCACAGTGCAGAACACACGATGCATGACAGTGCAGAACAGATCACACATCAAGCTTGGTTAATCGCCGTGCTTACTGAATTGATGCTGTCCTATTTGTTTCACCATGGCACAAACTGAGTGTTATAACCAAATACATTAACTCGCTGAAGTTTAGAGGATGCAGAAAGCTCCCTAAGACTACAAGAGGAAGCACCACAAAAAGCATGCTGAGTCACATGCAGAGAGAACTGTAAGGAAGCAACTGGCTGATAGAACCACCAGGACCCACCCTGAGATGGGAAGGAGTACGAGCCGCTCAGCGGAAGGGCTAGGAGCTCAGCAGCCAGTACCAGGGCCCTGCTCCACAGCCCTTCAGGCCAAGGACAGGGAACCAGAGGGACTGGCCTGGTAGATAAAACAAGAGGCAGTTTCCAGTTTCCCGATGGGATCTCTGAGAGCCGGGTGTGTCTGGCTGCCCTTCCACACGGAAAGGAAGGGCCCTCCTCGGCCTCAGCTCCTCTTTCCACAAGCTGACCTCAGGCCTGATTTGTGGTCGGAGAGCAGGGAGGCTGTGTCATCTGGGGTAGAGCTGTGGTCTACGCAGCTCTGGCAGATGCATGTGTTTATCTTGATGGAGCCACTCACTTGTTCCTCCCTTCTGTCACCCACTCCTCCGCGACCCGGCAGCGCTCTGAGATGCTCAGGGACAGGCCTTCTCCTGTCGTGCCATTCACTGTTCCAAACAGAGAGTCAGTCAGTGGGACCAACCGATACCTTTCGTTCTTCCAGCACCAATGCTGGCAGTGCAGGGGCAGAAATCCCTGCTCGAGAGGAAGGGACACGGAGAAACACCAGAGGACAGAATCTGGGTGTGGGTGGGTGGGGTGATGCCATGTTTCCATTTCCACCTCAGACTCAGCCTTTTTTCCATCCTCACCTTGTCAAAAGGAGTGGGAAGGTTAAGTAGGACTTGTAATTTACAAATCTCATTGTTTTCAGGGACAGAGAGTATTTTAAATGGAGACAGAGGTAACTGCCCATGTTTCAGGCAAATCTCCGAGCACGCCAGGCAGTTCTATATTTGGGCTTGAATGGCAGGAAAACCAATACCATTCAGTACTGGGATGTCACGGTGGTCATAGGTGGCAGTTACTTATGAAGACAATGGTGTGTACTACAGATCTAAAACGACCTCTGTCTATAGACCTGGGTCCCTGGACTCTTTAATCAATAGAAATTGATAAGAGGCCAGATGAGAATTCAGGCAAGGCTTTACTGAGGTTCCTGCTGCAGCATGAGGGAGGGAGAACAAGAAAGAGGTGTCCTTGCTCGCTACCCAAGGTGGCGAGCTGGTTCCTTAAAAGGGGTAACAACAGGGGCGGGCCTGTGGGTTGGGCAGGAGGCGTAGCTTAGGTGTTCTACCCACCCCCTCGGTGCTGCTGGGTGCAGGGATCATGCGCGGTACCGGCATGCTCCCAGTACCTTAGAAGTGGCAGCTGGCGTGTGGCCTTTTTGAATCTTATTGTTCATAATTGCCCCCACTGCTCATGCGTGTAGTGATTTTTACTCCCTAATAGTTTCTTTGTAGTCTGTTGCTCTCAGAGACGTTTGTCCAGGTGTAAGCACTCCAGTAAAGGGTCCCAGGTCCCAGCCTATCTCAGGTGCACTACCAAATTATATAATCTCTTGATCATCTTTTAGGTCTAAAATTGATGAGACTAAAAATCCACAAATTTTACATGGCTTAGCCAGGCTCAACCATAACCTGTGACACAATAACACTGTGACCTCCTAGCTAGTAATCTGGTGACAGCTACTTTCTAAGGACTGAGCTAGAGATATGTAGATCTCTAAAGATGACTTACCAAAGATATTCTTCACTCCCTGTTCTTCTACAAGATAATCCACATACCGACCAATGACTGAGAAGTTGATTTCTCTGAAAGACATAAAGAAAAAAAATGTGTATTTATTCTTTTCTAGATTATTCAATTCATCCCCACAATTATAAACTGCTCTCTCTTGTTCATAGTTATTCAAATCCACCTAACCAGTCTGAAATTCTTAGCCTGCTCTGAATAATGCTTGGGTTTTTTTCTTCCCTTGAGTCTGGTGGTTTCTCTACTCAGCCATATGTGCCTCACTTATGTGAGAAAAGCATTATTAGTTATCCACAAAGGTTTTATGTTTAAACTTCATCACAAGTAATACTTAAAAAGTAATTATCTTTTGCCCTTTGGGGGCAGAGTGATGGTTGGGGGCATGGTTAAACAAGAACTTAACATTTTCCATGTGGCGAGAAGCAATCATTTCTTAGGCTTACAAAATAAGAACATTCAAACTTAGTAATTTAAGAATTTTAGCACTTAATATTTGTCACAATAAATGAAGGCTTAAAGCCATTTATATGTGTTAGTGTTAAACTGAAGAGGGATAATAGTTGAAAAGGAACTTTGTCATCACTTTGCCTTTCAAAGTGTTATCTGCGGAACAGCAGTATCAGCAACTGGGGGAATTTGTTGGAAATGAAGAGTCCCAGGCCGCACACAGTTCTCCTGGTCAGAATCTGCACTGTAACAAGATATCCACGTGATCTGCATGCACTGTGCCGTCTGAAGAGTACTGACCTTGCAAAGATCTGATGCTTAAAATCATATTGAGTTTAAAAAATCTAGAAACTGACTCACAGACAGATCAGATAAAGTGACCTGTTCTCAATCAAAATACAGGTGGGGGGACTTGCCTGGTGGCGCTGTGGTTAAGAATACGCCTGCCAATTCAGGGGACACAGGTTCGATCCCTGGTCCAGGAAGATCCCACATGCCGCGAAGCCACAAAGTCCGTGTGCCACAACTACTGAGCCTGCGCTCTAGAGCCCGCGAGCCACAACTACTGAAGCCCGCATGCCTACAGCCCGTGCTCTACAAAAAGAGAAGCCACCGCAATGAGAAGCCCACGCACCGCAATGAAGAGCAGCCCCCGCTCGCCGCACCTAGAGAAAGCCAGCACGCAGCAACGAAGGCTCAATGCAGCCAAAAATAAATAAAATTTTTAAAAAATTTACTAAAATAAAATACAGGTGGGGAGGATGGAGGATGGAGAAGGAAAATACAAAGGAAAATGGTGGGGCAAGTGTGTGTTAAATGTTGCAGAATGCATGGTTGCCAATAACACTCAGTACTAGTTGGCTAGTACTTTTGCATTTTAGTCAGCAGGGCCAGAGAATCCTAATGTAATTTTAACCTTATTAACATTCTTTTCATCTTTACTTATTGTATTCCTTAAAAAACAAAAGGGAACCAAAATGTCTGATGCATATAGAAAACAAAGACATCAAAGTGTATATGTCAAAGGGAATAGGAACAAGAGATAAAAACAAAGAATGGATAGGCAACCACTGCCCACAACACTCAAGAGACAACTAGTCCAAGCTGCCACTTGGGAAAAGGTAGGTTTTAATGTAGTTAAAAGGCCTGCAAGGGGAGCAAACTCTCTCCATAATGGCTCATGCCTGAAATATCGTTAACACTGCCCCTCCCTGACCCACTTGCTCAAATGCCGAATCTTCGCTTCTCAGTCTCACTAAGACTCCAAGATGGGGGAGTTAGCTGCCTAGACAATCCACCTCAGGACCTTCATTTAGGTCAGCTTGAGCCGCTCAACTTCTTGAAATCTCTCTGCCTCAGATATTTCTGACCACTTGGAACCACACCTTTACACCACACTAGCCCCTTGCTGCTTCCATCAGCTCTTCCCCACTTGGGACAAGCCCTGAGATGCAGGAACGATTAGCTGGGGCTTTGTTTGTGTGACACTAACTTTGGTTTTGACCAATGATGTCCATCTACTCATGCAAGCAACTTCCCAATCGCAGATTGGAAACTGGAAATAAAGCCTCTGGGCAATAGCTTGTGTTGGAGTCACAGATTCAAACGCAGTGGCTCCTGCACACTTTCACTGAAGTCTTGACACCTCCCCAGTCCCACCCTGGCCACATACTGAGACACTGAGAGCAGGCCTGGCCTCTTCTGCAAGGAGGAGCCTGCAGAGCTCCAGATGATTGAGGCCTGGTAGGCACCGTACTCGCTTTGGTGTGCTTTCTTTTGGTTTAATCTAATGTTTTCTTATTTGGAAAGGGAAGCTAGAGAGCTTGTTTCCATTTCCAGAAGTCCTTAAGGAAGACATTTAGTCTTTTTGGGTGCATGTGTGTATCCCCAAAGTGGACTCTAAACTCAGCAAGGACGCCCACTACCAAGTGGCACTCTATTGGCCAGTCCAGCACAAGTGCTCAGCACTGCACCTGGCTTCCATTAAAGGCTCAATCATTATTGCTGTTATTATTCCTCAGTGACAAATTCCTCACACCCTCAGCAAAGTTCATATCTCTATTATCATGAACATCACTTTGTACACTGTTTATGCCCACCCTCCAGTCTGGAGCAAGAACTTCCTGAAGGCAAGAACTGTGCCTTTTATACCTTACAATCTCTCATCTGCACCTGGCACAGCACAGACACTCAACAAAGGCTAGTGAAGGAGACTTGATGCAGGAATTTATAATGATGATGAAACACCTATAATCTCTGCTTTAAAAGCAGATTATCTCCACACTTGCTGGATGTGTTTACATTTCACTACCATATTAACTGAGCAAAGAAAATAGCATATATAAATAACTAAAATATTGAGAAAAATACAACAAAGGCTGTGACTGGTTGGAAAGTATAGAGGTTCAGCAGGGGACTGATAATTCCACTTAGGGAGGCTGGGAAGGAGACTTCAAGGACAAGGTGGATCTGGAATAAATAGGGTGAAATCCTATGATCCTCTTTCCCTCTGACTGTATTGAGAGCTGCTATTTGTCTGGCCCTACTCTGGTGTCCTCCTTCTAGAGAGCTGGCCACACCCTCAGGCAGATCTAGGCCAGCATGTGAACCCTCCAGCTCCTTCTCCTTCCTCAGAGAACTCCACGCTATTTTATGGCGTCAGTGTAGTGCTTTTGTCTACACTCACCCCCTCTCCCCAACTCCTTTAGGCCTTGCTGGATGACAAATACGATAACTCCACTCAGGTTAGGGGTGCTAATGGGTGATACATCATCTATTCCTTCAAGAAAGCAGTTTGCTTTTTCTTATAAAATGTCCCTAGCCTATAGGAGTGACACTAATGGTGGAATTCTGGGGCAGTGGCAGAGCCCCCCACAATGTCCTTGGACTTATGGTCTTTTGGAACTACCAAATCTCCTTACAGAGATCAGAGGTTGAAAAGGGATGGCTCCTAAATGTGTTTTGTTTGACTTTCACAACGTTAACATTTCTTTTCATGTTGAAAAAAAAAACAAAAAAACTTTGTTTGAAAAGCCAGACAAGGGAAATGCAAATCAAAACCACAATGAGATATCACCTCACACCTGTCAGAATGGCTATGATCAATAAGAACACAAATGTTGGCACGGACGTGGAGAAAAAGGAACCCTTGTACACTGTTGGTGGGAATGTAAATTCGTGCATCCACTATGGAAAACAGTATGGGGTTTCTCAAAAAAACTAAAAATAGAACTACCATATGACCTAGCAATTCCACTCTTGGGTACATACCTGAAAAAGACAAAAATACTAATTTGAAAAGATGCATGCACCCCAATGTTCATAGCAGCATTATTTACAATTGCCAAGATACGGAAGCAAGCTGTGTCCATTAACAGATGAACGGATAAAGAAGATGTGATATATATACAATGGAATACCACTCAGCCATAAAAAAGAATGAAATGTTGCCATTTGCAGCAACACAGATGGACTTGGAGGGCATTACGCTAAGTGAAATAAGTCAGGCAGAGAAAGACGAATACTGTATGATAGCACTTACATGTGGAATCTAAAAAATATAACAAACTAGTGAATATAACCAAAAAAAAAAGAATACTCGCAGATACAGAAAACAAACTAGTGGTTACCGGTTGGAAGAGGGAAGGGGAGAGGGGCAATTTAGGGTTAGGGGGTTAAGAGGTACAAACTATTAGGTATAAAATAAGCTATAAGGATACATTGTACAAGGGGAATATAGCCAATATTTTGTAATAACTATAAATGGAGTATAACCTTTAAAAACTGTGAATCACTATATTGTACACCTGTAACTTAGATAATAAAAAAAAGAAAACCCGATGATCTAACAAGGCCAGGCCCGCATTTCCATACAGCACCAACTGGCTAGGAAGAGCAGTGGCTGTCTGCTTTGGAGGCACAGAAGCCCCCCGGGTCACCTCAGGGATTTCGGATACCTGCCTGACTGTAGGTGCGAGGTTTGCAGCCCTTGACAGAAGATGCTCAGGGCTCCAGTCACAAATGGGCCCACGGAAATCACCCAGAGGTGTTACCATATTTGTCAAAGGCACCCCAAACAGCAGGGCTAGGGTGGCAAGAGGATGCTAATTCTCTCTGAGGACTTTGCTCCCTTCCCTATTTTCCCACCCTACGCTACCTCCCTAGGGTGCCTGGGTTTATGTTCATTCTTGCAGGCACTGAACCAGTTATTGGGCAGTCACCACAGAGAGTGGAAAGAATGAGATTAGGTAATTATTCTCCCCACTGGCTGGCCGTTTGGGGCTTGCTGCTCCTGGAAGGTGAGAGATGGCATAGGCCAGTTCACTTGGAAAGGCTCCACTGGCTTTCCACTGCCTCATCTCTTCCTTCGTGAGTGCTACAAACACCTCTTAGCACCTATGGGGAGAGTGGCCCAGAACCAAACTCCATGCTTGCTGTAGACATTCTCATACTTTTTGTTTTGAAAACGTGAACAGATTTTTAACGCTTTAGTTTTGTTTTTTGTTGTTGTTCTTCTTTGGCCATGCCGCATGGCATATGGGATCTTAGTTCCCCCACTAGGGATTGAACCTACGCCCCCTGCATTGGAAGCGTAAAGTCTTAACTACGGGCC